ACAGGCGGGATACTCACCACTATACTACAACGACTCGCACAACAAAACAGGACAGTCACAAATTTCTATTTAAGTAAGTCCAATCAAATGTGGCACCATGGTTCGTGTGCGATCTAATTGCAACTGAAACTAACATTTCATAGTCGGACAAAGTACCTGTTTAGTCCCTGTACTGTAGCGTTTTGTTCAATTTAGTTATTGTAACTTTAAGATTTAGAACAATTAAGGACAACATTAACACCGATAATTTTTTCCGTTAAGTTTTTTTCTACGTGGCATTCGAACTGCCATGTCGGATTGTGCGATGTGGCATAAAAGAGTGCAATACGGACAAAAATATAGTTAATAGCTCCGACCTTAGCTCAGTTGGTAGAGCGGAGGACTGTATTTGATTAATCTAAGTTGGAAATCCTTAGGTCGCTGGTTGAATCCGGCAGGTCGGATTGATTTTTTACAATATTAAGCTTTTTAATTTTTCCTTTGAAGAGCTAAAAAAAACGCTGTTGCCGGGATCGAACCCAGGTCTCCCGCGTGACAGGCGGGAATACTCACCACCAATGCTGCATAAAACGTTAGGCGCCCCTAGCGCCGATTTTTTTATTTATTTTTTAAGTTTTTTTTTATTTTTAATAAAATTAAAAATTAAAATTTTTTAAATTTAGTAATAAAACATAAGGTTTCCATAGTTGTTTCTTAGAAACTATTTACGAAAGTGGTTGTAAAATTGTTCAAAATATTTGTTTAAACCATCTAAATACATAAAAAACTAAAATTAAGAACTAAAGAGGCATTTTTTGAGAAATTAGTGGACCAAACCGCCTTTGGCTGTTTGCGGTGTATAGATCTCGAAAAAATACGCGATTTGAAAAAAAAATTTGACCAAATCAGACAACCGAGTCAAAAGTTATGCCTTCCAAAACTTTTTCGACATTTTCAAAAAAAAAAAAAAAATTCGCCGAACCGGCCGGTTAGGCGGTCTAGGCCATTCCTCGCGGCGGCCTCCCCCCGCCAGCGCCGAGGCGCGATTTTTGCAGCACTGCTCACCACTATACTACAACGACTCGCGCGGCAGAACAGGACAGTCACATATTACTATTTAAGTAAACCCAATCCAATGTGACACCATGGTGCGTGTGGCCATGTAATTGCAACTGAAACTAGCATTTCATAGTCGGACAAAGTACCTGTTAGGTCCCCGTAGTGTAGCGTTTTGTTCAATTTAGTCATTGTACCTTTATTTCGTGTAATTTAGTCCATTTACTTTAAGATTTTGAACAATTAAGGACAATATTAACACCGATAATTTTTTCCGTTAAGTTTGTCCACGCGGCATTCGAACTGCCATGTCAGATTGTGCGATATGGCATAAAAGAGTATAAATCGGACAAAAATAATGTTAACAGCTCTGACCTTAGCTCAGTGGTAGAGTGGTGGACTGTAGTTGGACTAATCTAAATTGGAAATCCTTAGGTCGCGAAAAAATACGCGATTTGAAAAAAAAATTGACCAAATCAGACAACCGAGTCAAAAGTTATGCCTTCCAAAACTTTTTCGACATTTTCAAAATAAAAAATAAAAATTCGCCGAACCGGCCGGTTAGGCGGTCTAGGCCATTCCTCGCGGCGCCTCCCCCCAAGCGCCGAGGCGCGATTTTTACAGCACTGCTCACCACTATACTACAACGACTCGCGCGGCAGAACAGGACAGTCACATATTACTATTTAAGTAACCCAATCCAATGTGACACCATGGTGCGTGTGGCCATGTAATTGCAACTGAAACTAGCATTTCATAGTCGGACAAAAGTACCTGTTAGTCCCGTAGTGTAGCGTTTTGTTCAATTTAGTCATTGTACCTTTATTTCGTGTAATTTAGTCCATTTACTTTAAGATTTTGAACAATTAAGGACAATATTAACACCGATAATTTTTTCCGTTAAGTTTGTCCACGCGGCATTCGAACTGCCATGTCAGATTGTGCGATATGGAATAAAAGAGTATAAATCGACAAAATAATGTTAACAGCTCTGACCTTAGCTCAGTGGTAGAGTGGTGGACTGTAGTTGGACTAATCTAAATTGGAAATCCTTAGGTCGCTGGTTTGATTCCGGCAGGTTGATGTTCTGATATTAAGAATTTTAATTTTCTTTGAAGAGCTAAAAAAAAAAAAAAGACGCCGTTGCGGGATGAACCGGGTCTCCCGTGACAGGCGGGATACTCACCACTATACACAACGACTCGCACAACAAACAGGACAGTCACAAATTTCTATTTAAGTAAGTCCAATCAAATGTGGCACCATGGTTCGTGTGGCGATCTAATTGCAACTGAAACTAACATTTCATAGTCGGACAAAGTAGTCCCTGTTTAGCGTTTTGTCAATTTAGTTATTGTACGTTTATTTTGTGTAATCTAGTCCCGGTACTTTAAGATTTAGAACAATTAAGGACAACATTAACACCATAATTTTTTCCCGTTAAGTTTTTTTCTACGTGGCATTCGAACTGCCATGTCGGATTGTGCGATGTGGCATAAAAGAGTGCAATACGGACAAAAATATAGTTAATAGCTCCGACCTTAGCTCAGTTGGTAGAGCGGAGGACTGTAGTTTGATTAATCTAAGTTGGAAATCCTTAGGTCGCTGGTTCGAATCTGGCAGGTCGGATTGATTTTTTACAATATTAAGCATTTTTAATTTTTCCTTTGAAGAGCTAAAAAAAAAAACGCTGTTGCCTGGGGATTGAACCCAGGTCTCCCGAGTGACAGGCGGGAATACTCACCACCAATGCTGCATAAAACGTTAGGCGCCCCCTAGGCGGCTAGGGGGCGCCTAGGCGCCGATTTTTTTATTTATTATTATAGTTTTTTTTTTATTTTTAATAAAATTAAAAATTAAATTTTTTTAAATTTAGTAATAAAACATAAGGTTTCCATAGTTGTTTCTTAGAAACTATTTACGAAAGTGGTTGGTAAAATTGTTCAAAATATTGTTTAAACCATCTAAATACATAAAAAACTAAAATTAAGAACTAAAGAGGCATTTTTTTGAGAAATTAGTGGACCAAACCGCCTTTGGCTGTTTGCGGTGTATAGATCTCGAAAAAATACGCGATTTGAAAAAAAAATTTGACCAAATCAGACAACCGAGTCAAAAGTTATGCCTCCAAAACTTTTTCGACATTTTCAAAAAAAAAAAAAAAAATTCCCCGAACCGGCCGGTTAGGCGGTCTAGGCCATTCCTCGCGGCGGCCTCCCCCCGCCAAGCGCCTAGGCGCGATTTTTGCAGCACTGCTCACCACTATACTACAACGATTCGCGCGGCAGTACAGGACTGTCACATATTACTATTTAAGTAAACCCAATCCAATGTGACACCATGGTGCGTGTGGCCATGTAATTGCAACTGAAACTAGCATTTCATAATCGGACAAAGTACCTGTTAGGTCCCCGTAGTGTAGCGTTTTGTTCAATTTAGTCATTGTACCTTTATTTCGTGTAATTTAGTCCTTTTACTTTAAGATTTTGAACAATTAAGGACAATATTAACACCGAAAATTTTTTCCGTTAAGTTTGTCAACGCGGCATTCGAACTGCCATGTCAGATTGTGCGATATGGCATAAAAGAGTATAAATCGGACAAAAATAATGTTAACAGCTCAGACCTTAGCTCAGTTGGTAGAGTGGTGGACTGTAGTTGGACTAATCTAAATTGGAAATCCTTAAGTCGCTGGTTTGATTCCGGCAGGTTGGATTGATGTTCTAATATATTAAGCTTTTTAATTTTTCCTTTGAAGAGCTAAAAAAAAAAAAAAAAAAAGACGCCGTTGCCGGGGATCGAACCCGGGTCTCCCGCGTGACAGGCGGGGATACTCACCACTATACTACAACGACTCGCGCGGCAGAACAGGACTGTCACAAATTTCTATTTAAGTAAGTCCAATCAAATGTGGCACCATGGTTCGTGTGGCGATCTAATTGCAATTGAAACTAACATTTCATAGTCGGACAAAGTACCTGTTTAGTCCCTGTACTGTAGCGTTTTGTTCAATTTAGTTATTGTACGTTTATTTTGTGTAATCTAGTCCCGGTACTTTAAGATTTAGAACAATTAAGGACAACATTAACACCATAATTTTTTCCGTTAAGTTTTTTTCTACGTGGCATTCGAACTGCCATGTCGGATTGTGCGATGTGGCATAAAAGAGTGCAATACGGACAAAAATATAGTTAATAGCTCCGACCTTAGCTCAGTTGGTAGAGCGGAGGACTGTAGTTTGATTAATCTAAGTTGGAAATCCTTAGGTCGCTGGTTTCGAATCCGGCAGGTCGGATTGATTTTTTACAATATTAAGCATTTTAATTTTTCCTTTGAAGAGCTAAAAAAAAAACGCTGTTGCTGGGGATTGAACCCAGGTCTCCCGAGTGACAGGCGGGAATACTCACCACCAATGCTGCATAAAACGTTAGGCGCCCCCTAGGCGGCTAGGGGCGCCTAGGCGCCGATTTTTTTATTTATTATTATAGTTTTTTTTTATTTTTAATAAAATTAAAAATTAAATTTTTTTAAATTTAGTAATAAAACATAAGGTTTCCATAGTTGTTTCTTAGAAACTATTTACGAAAGTGGTGGTAAAATTGTTCAAAATATTGTTTAAACCATCTAAATACATAAAAAACTAAAATTAAGAACTAAAGAGGCATTTTTTTGAGAAATTAGTGGACCAAACCGCCTTTGGCTGTTTGCGGTGTATAGATCTCGAAAAAATACGCGATTTGAAAAAAAAATTTGACCAAATCAGACAACCGAGTCAAAAGTTATGCCCTCCAAAACTTTTTCGACATTTTCAAAAAAAAAAAAAAAATTCCCCGAACCGGCCGGTTAGGCGGTCTAGGCCATTCCTCGCGGCGGCCTCCCCCCGCCCAGCGCCTAGGCGCGATTTTTGCAGCACTGCTCACCACTATACTACAACGATTCGCGCGGCAGTACAGGACTGTCACATATTACTATTTAAGTAAACCCAATCCAATGTGACACCATGGTGCGTGTGGCCATGTAATTGCAACTGAAACTAGCATTTCATAATCGGACAAAGTACCTGTTAGGTCCCCGTAGTGTAGCGTTTTGTTCAATTTAGTCATTGTACCTTTATTTCGTGTAATTTAGTCCTTTTACTTTAAGATTTTGAACAATTAAGGACAATATTAACACCGAAAATTTTTTCCGTTAAGTTTGTCAACGCGGCATTCGAACTGCCATGTCAGATTGTGCGATATGGCATAAAAGAGTATAAATCGGACAAAAATAATGTTAACAGCTCAGACCTTAGCTCAGTTGGTAGAGTGGTGGACTGTAGTTGGACTAATCTAAATTGGAAATCCTTAAGTCGCTGGTTTGATTCCGGCAGGTTGGATTGATGTTCTAATATATTAAGCTTTTTAATTTTTCCTTTGAAGAGCTAAAAAAAAAAAAAAAAGACGCCGTTGCCGGGGATCGAACCCGGGTCTCCCGCGTGACAGGCGGGGATACTCACCACTATACTACAACGACTCGCGCGCAGAACAGGACTGTCACAAATTTCTATTTAAGTAAGTCCAATCAAATGTGGCACCATGGTTCGTGTGGCGATCTAATTGCAATTGAAACTAACATTTCATAGTCGGACAAAGTACCTGTTTAGTCCCTGTACTGTAGCGTTTTGTTCAATTTAGTTATTGTACGTTTATTTTGTGTAATCTAGTCCCGGTACTTTAAGATTTAGAACAATTAAGGACAACATTAACACCATAATTTTTTCCGTTAAGTTTTTTTCTACGTGGCATTCGAACTGCCATGTCGGATTGTGCGATGTGGCATAAAAGAGTGCAATACGGACAAAAATATAGTTAATAGCTCCGACCTTAGCTCAGTTGGTAGAGCGGAGGACTGTAGTTTGATTAATCTAAGTTGGAAATCCTTAGGTCGCTGGTTCGAATCCGGCAGGTCGGATTGATTTTTTACAATATTAAGCATTTTAATTTTTCCTTTGAAGAGCTAAAAAAAAAACGCTGTTGCTGGGGATTGAACCCAGGTCTCCCGAGTGACAGGCGGGAATACTCACCACCAATGCTGCATAAAACGTTAGGCGCCCCCTAGGCGGCTAGGGGGCGCCTAGGCGCCGATTTTTTTATTTATTATTATAGTTTTTTTTTTATTTTTAATAAAATTAAAAATTAAATTTTTTAAATTTAGTAATAAAACATAAGGTTTCCATAGTTGTTTCTTAGAAACTATTTACGAAAGTGGTGGTAAAATTGTTCAAAATATTGTTTAAACCATCTAAATACATAAAAAACTAAAATTAAGAACTAAAGAGGCATTTTTTTGAGAAATTAGTGGACCAAACCGCCTTTGGCTGTTTGCGGTGTATAGATCTCGAAAAAATACGCGATTTGAAAAAAAAATTTGACCAAATCAGACAACCGAGTCAAAAGTTATGCCTTCCAAAACTTTTTCGACATTTTCAAAAAAAAAAAAAAAATTCCCCGAACCGGCCGGTTAGGCGGTCTAGGCCATTCCTCGCGGCGGCCTCCCCCCGCCCAGCGCCTAGGCGCGATTTTTGCAGCACTGCTCACCACTATACTACAACGATTCGCGCGGCAGTACAGGACAGTCACATATTACTATTTAAGTAAACCCAATCCAATGTGACACCATGGTGCGTGTGGCCATGTAATTGCAACTGAAACTAGCATTTCATAGTCGGACAAAGTACCTGTTAGGTCCCCGTAGTGTAGCGTTTTGTTCAATTTAGTCATTGTACCTTTATTTCGTGTAATTTAGTCCTTTTACTTTAAGATTTTGAACAATTAAGGACAATATTAACACCGAAAATTTTTTCCGTTAAGTTTGTCAACGCGGCATTCGAACTGCCATGTCAGATTGTGCGATATGGCATAAAAGAGTATAAATCGGACAAAAATAATGTTAACAGCTCAGACCTTAGCTCAGTTGGTAGAGTGGTGGACTGTAGTTGGACTAATCTAAATTGGAAATCCTTAAGTCGCTGGTTTGATTCCGGCAGGTTGGATTGATGTTCTAATATATTAAGCTTTTTAATTTTTCCTTTGAAGAGCTAAAAAAAAAAAAAAGACGCCGTTGCCGGGGATCGAACCCGGGTCTCCCGCGTGACAGGCGGGGATACTCACCACTATACTACAACGACTCGCGCGGCAGAACAGGACTGTCACAAATTTCTATTTAAGTAAGTCCAATCAAATGTGGCACCATGGTTCGTGTGGCGATCTAATTGCAATTGAAACTAACATTTCATAGTCGGACAAAGTACCTGTTTAGTCCCTGTACTGTAGCGTTTTGTTCAATTTAGTTATTGTACGTTTATTTTGTGTAATCTAGTCCCGGTACTTTAAGATTTAGAACAATTAAGGACAACATTAACACCATAATTTTTTCCGTTAAGTTTTTTTCTACGTGGCATTCGAACTGCCATGTCGGATTGTGCGATGTGGCATAAAAGAGTGCAATACGGACAAAAATATAGTTAATAGCTCCGACCTTAGCTCAGTTGGTAGAGCGGAGGACTGTAGTTTGATTAATCTAAGTTGGAAATCCTTAGGTCGCTGGTTCGAATCCGGCAGGTCGGATTGATTTTTTACAATATTAAGCATTTTAATTTTTCCTTTGAAGAGCTAAAAAAAAAACGCTGTTGCTGGGGATTGAACCCAGGTCTCCCGAGTGACAGGCGGGAATACTCACCACCAATGCTGCATAAAACGTTAGGCGCCCCCTAGGCGGCTAGGGGGCGCCTAGGCGCCGATTTTTTTATTTATTATTATAGTTTTTTTTTTATTTTTAATAAAATTAAAAATTAAATTTTTTAAATTTAGTAATAAAACATAAGGTTTCCATAGTTGTTTCTTAGAAACTATTTACGAAAGTGGTTGGTAAAATTGTTCAAAATATTGTTTAAACCATCTAAATACATAAAAAACTAAAATTAAGAACTAAAGAGGCATTTTTTTGAGAAATTAGTGGACCAAACCGCCTTTGGCTGTTTGCGGTGTATAGATCTCGAAAAAATACGCGATTTGAAAAAAAAATTTGACCAAATCAGACAACCGAGTCAAAAGTTATGCCTTCCAAAACTTTTTCGACATTTTCAAAAAAAAAAAAAAATTCGCCGAACCGGCCGGTTAGGCGGTCTAGGCCATTCCTCGCGGCGGCCTCCCCCCGCCCAGCGCCTAGGCGCGATTTTTGCAGCACTGCTCACCACTATACTACAACGATTCGCGCGGCAGTAACAGGACAGTCACATATTACTATTTAAGTAAACCCAATCCAATGTGACACCATGGTGCGTGTGGCCATGTAATTGCAACTGAAACTAGCATTTCATAAGTCGGACAAAGTACCTGTTAGGTCCCCGTAGTGTAGCGTTTTGTTCAATTTAGTCATTGTACCTTTATTTCGTGTAATTTAGTCCTTTTACTTTAAGATTTTGAACAATTAAGGACAATATTAACACCGATAATTTTTTCCGTTAAGTTTGTCAACGCGGCATTCGAACTGCCATGTCAGATTGTGCGATATGGCATAAAAGAGTATAAATCGGACCAAAAATAATGTTAACAGCTCAGACCTTAGCTCAGTTGGTAGAGTGGTGGACTGTAGTTGGACTAATCTAAATTGGAAATCCTTAAGTCGCTGGTTTGATTCCGGCAGGTTGGATTGATGTTCTAATATATTAAGCTTTTTAATTTTTCCTTTGAAGAGCTAAAAAAAAAAAAAAGACGCCGTTGCGGGGATCGAACCCGGGTCTCCCGCGTGACAGGCGGGGATACTCACCACTATACTACAACGACTCGCGCAGCAGAACAGGACTGTCACAAATTTCTATTTAAGTAAGTCCAATCAAATGTGGCACCATGGTTCGTGTGGCGATCTAATTGCAATTGAAACTAACATTTCATAGTCGGACAAAGTACCTGTTTAGTCCCTGTACTGTAGCGTTTTGTTCAATTTAGTTATTGTACGTTTATTTTGTGTAATCTAGTCCCGGTACTTTAAGATTTAGAACAATTAAGGACAACATTAACACCATAATTTTTTCCGTTAAGTTTTTTTCTACGTGGCATTCGAACTGCCATGTCGGATTGTGCGATGTGGCATAAAAGAGTGCAATACGGACAAAAATATAGTTAATAGCTCCGACCTTAGCTCAGTTGGTAGAGCGGAGGACTGTAGTTTGATTAATCTAAGTTGGAAATCCTTAGGTCGCTGGTTCGAATCCGGCAGGTCGGATTGATTTTTTACAATATTAAGCATTTTAATTTT